GTTGGCAGTACCTGGAGGTAGGGGATTTTAAAGGGAACAACAACTGTCACTATCGCTGGGTGCACAGTTTCTCTCTCAAAGCTACAAGGGACAGAACAGGATGACAGTTCTCTGGAAAGTCAGAAGAAGCTATCTAGGCTTACTTAACCCCCCTGATCCACTCTCAGGAAGGTATTTAGCACAGTACTTGGCATACAGCCTATCTTCCTTAACATCATCACAGCCAGAGTGCACAACAGTGAACTTTACTGTGGTTCTCAGTACTGTTTGCTTCCTATTTTGGTCCTTAGTTACTCAAATTCCTAGGAGCCTATTCTAGGACCTTTGAGGTTGGAAGTCCTTCCAGGAGTAGAGCTCTTCTCTTTATAGGAGGGTCTTGGTGTTAACTGCTCCTCACTATCTTCTGGGCTTTCTTGGAAACACCTGCTGCCTCCTGAGTAGCTGACCTCTTGTCTAGTTAGGATTGGGAATCCTCCTCTCAGGCAACAGCTCCATCAGAATTCTTTCTTGTCTCTTCTTCCTCCCCTTCTCTTTTCCTGGTCTGAAACAGAAATGAATTCCTGGCCAGAGCTGAAAAGTGAGCAGACTGAGGGAGGCCAAGGTAATGGGCAGTCTTGCCCACCAAATTAAGCAAGACTGTGTTTTCCTTTTTTTTTTTTTAATGTTTTATTTATTTCTGAGAGAGAGAGAGAGAGAGAGAGAGAGACAGCATGAGCAGGGGAGGGTCAGAGAGAGAGAGAGGGAGATACAGAATCTGAAATAGGCTCCAGGTTCTGAGCTAGCTGTCAGCACAGAGCCTGCTGCGGGGCTTGAACCCATGGACCATGAGATCATGACCTGAGCCAAAGTTGGACACTTAACCGACTGAGCCACCCAGGTGCCCCATAAGACTTTGTGTTTTCTTAGGTTTACTTTGTCCTTTCCTCCCACAGGTACATCTGCCCCGTGACAGTTTACATCACACCATTTGCTTCTGACCTAGCTCCCAGCGCCAGCCCAGAACAGGACCCATAGAGCAGCCTGGCTCCTTTGCCCCTCAGGGCCGCTTCTGCTCTATATGGCTATGCAGAGACACTCACAAGGGTTGCGGTGCACCCCAGCCTCTGCACAAGCTGTGCCCCAAGCAGGGCATGTCCACGGGAGGGGCAAGTCTCTCATCAGTGGGAAGGCAGAGTGTGTGCTTGCTCAGCCGTGTGCAGGCTTCTTAATAAGAAAAGTGCATGCATTTTCAGAGGATGTATTAGCATCAGAGGAAAAGTTTGCTCTTTCTTTAAAACTTCTTGGATGAAATCTGTGACCAAGTTTAAGAAGGCTATGCTTTAGAGCAGGATGTAGGAAGAACATGCACACGTCTTGTCACACGTGGCGGCACTCATTCATCACACCCACTCTACTTCCAATGTATCTCCCAAGACAGCAAGAATTTTCAGACACTTAAAATACTTATATTTTATACTATGCTTACTACCACTGACTAAAGGTATAATCAACTGTCAGTAGAAATAGCTATCAGTGGAGAAGTTCAGTGTTAACCCTCTTTTTTACAAATCTATACCACGGCTAAAGGCAATAGATTAGCGAATATCTACAACAGTAAATAACAGTTAAGAAGCTGAAGAGCTATGTTTTTATTCCTGCTTTCACATGCCAAAGTCTTTGGTTAATGTTAACTTTGATGCCATAGTAAGAGAAAGCAACTTTCTGCATATCTCAAGCATAATGCAATTTCACTTTCTGCCATTATCTGTGTTCATGTCTCAAAGGGAAAACAGATTTATTATAAAGTCATTTTGGTGTTTAAGAAACCAAAGTACCATGGATGTTGTCCAAGAAAGACTGTACCAATGTCCACTGTGCAGCAAAGAGTAACCACACTACCAGTGCAGCAGCTTGGAGCCCTCGTGAACTGAATGTTGCAAAGGCCCCCAGGATGAGAGAACCATCAAAACAGGTCACTCTCTAAAATGTCCAAATGCTTCCCTGCCTCCTTCAACAAAGTAGAACAAATATGACTTAACCTTCCCTCAGTGACCTAGGACATTAAGAAAGAACAATGGATTTGAAGTTAAGAACACTGACTTGACCCACTATATTCACTGGTCATTCGCTGCACCTTTCTGGGCCCATCATCTTCACGATGGGATCACTGCATTCTGCAGAGCTGTTTAGAAGAGGAAGTCAAACAACACACATAAGGTGACTAGGGTAGTGCCCTTGCTCTTGCAGAGGATGCTCCATGAAATGCCAGCCCACTTCCTGTCCCTCAGCACACAATCTGAACAGATGAGTTACTGCTGTTTGCTGCAGGCTGGCTGCCGCTCTGTGGGTGGTCACATCAGAAATGGGTCATTGAGCAGAATAAATGCAGCTCTGGGTCTGGCCCTAGAGTTGCTTTCTTTTTTTTTTTTTTAAGCAGTTACTGGCTTTCCTTTTACATAAAATTGGAAAATGAGCATATGATTCCCAAGCAATGGGATATGGTTGCAAACTTCTTCCCAAGCAGTTTTCTTACTCTTCAAAAAAGTTCCCTTCAGTTCATGTTTTATAAATCCTTTGTGTCACAGGCATTAAGACAGCCTGTGTTATTAAAACAATTAGACAGCCCCTTATATCTGCATCCATGTTTTTTTTAAGTTTTTTTTTTTTAATGTTTTTATTAGAGAGAGACAGAGCATGAGGATGGGAAGGACAGAGAGAGAGGGAGACACAAAATCTGAAGAAGGCTTCAGGCTTTAAGCTGTCAGTACAGAGCCCAACGTGGGGCTCGAACTCACAAACCATGAGTTCATGACCTGAGCCAAAGTTGGATGCTCAACCGACTGAGCCACCCAGGTGCCCCACTGCATCCATGTTTTAACTCAGCCTTTACAGCAATTTTTGTGCCCTTCTGTTCACTAATAATTTAAATGCTTTTCAGCCCAAAGCTTCTGAGCTTAAACCATTTAGTTGTTAAAGCAGCTAAGTACAAAAACTACTTGGGTAGTTTTATAAACACACACACACACACACACACACACACACACAAGATTTACTATTTCGTTCCCATTGCACACCAGCAAATTATAAGCTATGGGTTGTCAATAGTACTTTAGGGATGGGCAGATGCGGGTGTGACTGCATTTCAGATGTGAAGAGAGAAATCTATACGAGACACAATTTAGAGCTTGTATCTGTCTTTACATCTGTAAACCAAAAATCATACAACACATTATTTACTTACCTTACTTACAACACATTATTTTCTAATGCATGAAATCTGGCTGGGCTGACCCTGAATTTGTGATCCACTTCCTTTCTATTTTCCTTTGCACCTGCTACTTGATGGATGATTTTTCCCCCTTTCTACCCACTATTTTCATTTCAGCTGCCAGATTTTGCCTCAATTATTCTATGAAACATATCTCAAACTCTACTAGGTCTAGAAAAGAAAATGGATAATACCATATAGTTTAATAAGCCTCTAAAGAGGAAAATTTAGTAGAAAAGTGAACTCCCAACATTCTTCAAGACTTAAATACCACCTTCTCTGTGAAAGTTTACATTGATGGCTCCAGGTGACCACATCCTCCTTTTTGTCTCTACTGTATCTTGTATTCTGCTTCTATCATATCTCTCAACACAATGAGGATGTAGGATTACGTGTATACCTCTCTTCCACACCAGGGTGTGGGCCTCCCTGTTTTAGCATAGAGAACACTACACATAAGTTAAATAAAACAGAATTAAACAACAATTATAAAAGAGGATAAACATCCAGTCAGTATGTGGATTGATTTAGTTGAATGGTTCTCAAATGAAAATGGGGGATCAAGGATTGGTAAAATGGGTAAAGAGAGTCAAAGCTACAAACTTCCAGGTGTAGATAAATAAGTCCTGGTGACCATACTTAACAATACTGTTGTATATCTGAAAGATGCTAAGAGAAGAGATTTTAAAAGTCCTTACCACAATAAAAAAAAAATTTGTAACTATGTGTGGTGATGGATGTTAACTAAACTTATGGTAGGTCATGTATCAAATCATTATGTTCTATACCTAAAACTAATACAGTGTTATATGTCAGTTATATCTCCACTAAAAATAATTTTAAGTGGAAGGTTTTTGTGTGTTCTAATAATTGTTTTAGTAACATAACAATCAGCAAAGAACCATGATGCTTCAGATCTAGATTCATATGGTCTTTATGCAGTCTTATTCTGATTTTCTCTGATAGTTATACACTGACTCACATTCTATTAGTTCTCATTATTATTCTTTCATTAAAAAAAGAAAATGGATGTTCTCTGGAGATCCCTGTAAACTCTATGACAATGTTAATGATGAACAATTTTGGCTTTCAAAGCATCACATTATAATCTATTACTTGAGACCCGGGACCTGAGATATATGTGGAGGACATGGTGCCAAGATGTTAGACATGGTTTCTCAGGGCTTTAAATTTTTTTAAGCCAATAAAGTTGTGATTAAGTAATGGAGCTTCAGTAAAAACAATTCAAGTTATTTTGCAAACTCTTTCCCATATGACAGTACTTTAGGATATTTTAAAATTACACCAGCAAGCCACTGAGCTCAGATTAAAATATTATGTTCCTTGGTTCCTATTTAAAATCAAATTGCTTTACTTACCTTTCCATCATTTTAGTTATAAAATTAAGGAGAAGTGAAACTTTTTTTAAACATAAAAATGAAAAACAAGAAAAACACCTAAATCTCATACTTCAAAGATAATCCCCTCCGAGTTAAAATGTTAAACCTCTCAGGGCACCTGGTGGTTCAGTGGGTTGAGCGTCTGACTTCAGCTCAGGTAATGATCTCACTGTTGGTGAGTTCGAGCCCTGCATCAGGCTCTGTGGTGACAGCTCAGAGCCTGGAGCCTCCTTTGGATTCTGTGTCTCTCCCTCTCTCTGTTCCCCCCCACTCGTGCTCTATCTCTTTCAAAAATAAATAAACATTAAATTTAAAAAAATGTCAAACCTCTCAGATGACAAGCGATACCATACCTGTCCTGTGTATGCAAACTCCAGGGCCTGCTTTAAGCCAAGGCTGGTCACACCATGTAAACTGACCTCGTCTGCTCCACTTTCCACCATACAGAGACTGAACATCGCCTGAGATGGGAGAGAAAGGGAGGGATGGGGGGTTATGGAACTTAAGAAGCAAGGGAACAAGACAAGTCCTAGAGAGACTAGAAAAGAAATACATTCTATAAGTGAAGGTTGATTTTGATTTTTGAAACGCTTCTACAAAAAGCACCACAAATCACTTTGCTGTCTAAACAGAGTAACACACAACTGGCACCACACACCTCATACACAGAGTCCCACTTAATCCCATGGTGGTTCTCTGGGGTGGCTGTGTTTAGGCTCACTCACTGAACTCATTCTCTCAATACAGGGTCTCACTGCTACCACAAAATGTGGAGCACTTCCGACTTGCCAACAAGACATGGAAAGTAGCACCTTCGTCTCTTGACATCTCTGCATTTTTCTGCTTTATCTTAATGACACACCTCATTCTTCTCACCTGCCATGTATCATACACTCTGTCCTAAGGGTTCAACATCGGCATCACTGTGAACATTAGAGTACTGATGGCGGGGGCCCCAGCCCAGACCTATCAACACAAAAACTCACAGTGGAATCCAGCAATGTGTATTGTGATGGGCCATCCAGGTGACCCTGATGCTCACTTGAGTTTGAGAACCACTAAGTTATTTAGTGAACATCAAATTGCCCCCAAACCAATTCTCCAAATGGCCAACTTGTTGAAAATCAGTTCTAAAGGATGACCAGTATGTCAAGTGAAAGCTTGAAAATTAAAAAAATGAAAACTTGCCAAATAAAAAAAATGCATTGGCTTGCTTCCTTTCCAAAAACAAAAACAAAAAATTCCCCACGCTAATTTGTACACTTGTAACAAGTTTGATTTAACAGGTATAAAGAGAATATCCCCTTTTGGGTTACCAATGATGAAATGCACTATTTAGGAAAGTATGTATCTATATAGTGAAGACTTAAACCTTATGCAAAGGAAGCTCTGGTCTTTTCCCTTGGCTTCTAGAAGGTGATTGCCAGACCCTTGGAATATCCTGACTGACAGGAGTGTCTTTGTCAGAACTTTGGCCGATGACTGTCTAACAACATGATGTACAATGGTGGTTAGCCCACACCATATCAGTTCTGACCTCCAGACGAACTGGACACTAAAGGTATTCGTCTGACCTCTAGGAGAGGCTAGAGATGAAAGGTCAATCACAATGGCAATCTGTGAGTGAGCCCCAATAAAAACTTTGGATACCAAAAGTTTGGGTAAGTGTCCCTGGTTGGCCAGGAGACAATGCTATGATCTCACAGCCAGCAAATTCTCAATTCTGTCCTATGTGTCTCTTTCCTTGTCTGATTCCAATTTGTTTCCTTTCCCTGTAATAAACCATTTCCATGAGTATAAAAGTTTTCAGCAAGTCCTGTGAGACTTCCTAGTGAATTACTGAATGTAAGAATAGATTCAGGAACCCCTTCAAACTTGCAACTGGTGTGAGAAGTGATAGAAGTCTTAAGGGGATGGTCCCTTCAGAATGTACAGTTTAGCTAACTTCATAGAGATAAAATTAAAAAGTGGGGAGGGGGGAACCCTCACTCTTCTATGGTAATATTTTAGTTCACACTAAATTGTTTTTAATTTTAGAAATGTGATTTTTTGTTTTGCCAATGTATTACTATTTATCTCTTTAGCAATTTTTATGTTGATAAATTTATTTTTGATTCTCACAATTCTATATATTTTAAGTTAATATATACTGAATAGTGTTATTAATTGATGGTCTATTATTCTTTCTGGAGATCATCATTTGTATCTCACTGCATTTGAGAGTACTGAGATTTCATAATGAATAGAACTGTCTTTGTTAGCTTAATTTTTTTAAATTTATTTTTGAGAGAGAGAGCGAGAGAGCGAGCGAGCAGGGGAAGGTCAGAGAGAGAGGGAGACACAGAACCTGAAACAGGCTCCAGGCTCTGAGCTGGCTGTCAGCACAGAGCCCGACACGGGGCTTGAACCCACAAATCATGAGATCATGACCTGAGCTGAAGCTGGATGTTTAACCAATTGAGCCACCCAGGCATCCCAGTTGACTTAATTTATAGTTAAAATTTTAATCATTAGAAATACCAAAGTATTACTCCCTTATCATTTGAGAAATCTAAAGAATATTTTAAATGTTCACAATTTGAGAAAATAAAAAAACAATATTGAAAATATCCTAAAGGCATTGGGAGTATGTAATGTGTAACATACACAATTATATTTGCTATATTAAAATAGCATTCAGAATATTTTACTTTCAGAAATTGACTTTGAGTTGATCTGGCTTGCTGCAAGTACCACTGGGAGTTAAGGTACTATGTGAAGGGCTAAGAACACTGGATCTGAAATCACTTGGTTTGGTGAACCACAGTGATTAAGGACAAACTTGTAACCAAACTATTCTGGGTTGGATTATAAACACTAGCAAGTGACTGGAACAAACATGTAACCTCTCTCTGACTCAGTTTTCTTCTCTGAAAAATGGGGCCAAAAATTGTACCCACTTCATGAACTTGTTTGAAGATTAGATGACAGTATATGTATGAAGTGTTCAGTATGATGCCTGGATAAGGCAAGGTCTTAGTGAAACTTCTATACTGTAATAACAATGAAATAGAATTCTATTTTTCTTATGTATTCTTTTTTGAAAAATTTTTAAAATGTTTTATTTTTTTCTGAGAGAGAGAGAGAGAGAGAGAGAGACAGTGTGATCAGGAGAGGGTCAGAGAGGGAGACACAGAATCTGAAGCAGGCTCCAGGCTCTGAGCTAGCTGTCAGCACGGAGCCTGATACGGGGCTGGAATCCATGAACCATGAGATCATGATCTGAACCGAAGTTGGACGCTTAACCAACTGAGGCCCCCAGGCGCCCCTCTTATGTATTCTTTGGTTAAAAGTAGTGATACATTAGGAACACTAGTCTCTGGGGGTTTTGTTGTTGTTGTTCAAAATTTTATTAATGTGTATTTATTTTTGAAAGAGACAGAGTGCGAGCTGGAGAGGGGCAGAGAGAGAGGGAGACACAGAATCCGAAGCAGGCTCCAGGGTCTGAGCTGTCAGCTCGATGCGGGGCTCGAACTCATGGATTGCGAGATCATGACCTGAACTGAAGTCAGACTTTTAATGGACTGAGCCACCCAGATGCCCCTATTGTTGTCGTTTTAAATTGAGGCGCAGCTATAGATAAAAAGGGCTATTGGAAAACTGATTTCATAAATGGATTCTGCTTATGCATGAATGGAACATCTAAAATTTCAAAACTAGGGACATCTGGCTGGCTCAGTCAGTAAAATACGTGACTCTTGAACTCAGGATCATGAGTTCAAGCCACAGGTGGCCATGGCCTACTTAAAATATTAAATCAGTAAACCATAAAATTTCAAAACTAAAAAGCACAGGTCATAATTTAAAAAAACTTTCAATTTATGTCATTCTGAATTTGCTTCTAGATTGCTTACGGCAGTCAAAAAGGACTGAAAGAAATTTCAGTTGTTTTCACTGTCTGTTTCTTATTATGTGAGTTGTTTCAGTTTTTAATATATTTCCGATATGAATTTTTTTTTCAGATATTCCAGGTTGTAACAGCACCTGAAATGGCACCCAGCTGTTCTCCATCAACTCCACTGCTGACAGAAATGACTGAAACTGCACAAGAATTATCTGGGTTAATGAAATGCAAACAGTCCCTCAGAGCAAAGGCTAATAGATAACAGAACAAGATGCCAAGGGAGTTTTTCTGAATCTGCTTTCCTCAGGGTTTTTCAAAACCAACCACAGCAAAGGGGGCATAGAACAGGCATCCTCAACCAGGGAGCTACTGAACTTGGTAGAGTCAGGGTGAACACAACCCCTTAAATAACATACATATATCATGTGCGTGTTTGTACAGGCAATTAAGGAACTCCAGATTGGTCAGTATGGTTATGTTAGAGGGTATGACTATAGAGGGAAGGAAAAGACTATTAATTTTCTTTCATTTACACAGTATTATTTGTCATTACAATAAATATGTGTTACTTGTGTATTTCTAACAACTGCCTTTTGAAAACTTTGTTTTAGTTTTAATGTTCAGGACTGTGCAGAAAGACACATCTGATTCAAATCCTGGGTCCATAATCCACTGTCAAGCGGCAATTTACCTTCAACATGTGACCTTTGACTAATGTATGAATTTCTCTGAATCTCAGGCCCTTTATCTGTATGTAAATAGAGATGATACAAACCTCATAGGTTGTCTTGAGGTTTAGATACAATTATGCTTAATATCAAGCATAGTATCTGGCACTAAGTAGATGCTCTGTAAGTAGAAGCTGTTATTCTAATCCAAGCTGACTGCCCTATTTTCCCAAGTATCTTTTTGATCTCAACTGGAATGAGAGCTAAGAAGCAGTCCCTCCTCTGCCCTCTGCTCAAATCTGTTTGTTTCAAATACTTTCCTAATGACATTCCCACTCAAAATCCGTATGTCTGGCTTCAGGACTTCACTTTCATCACATACTCCTACACTCTACATTAAGGTCTGACCACATCATAAAAACCATCATCACCACTTCCACAAACACACAACCTCCATTCTGATAATCACTCTGATTATCTATCATTCTGATAGTCTTAGAAACTTTATGTTACGAATTTAAAACATCATAATTTTTTAAAGTTATAACACTGGTTAATGAGAAGAATAAAGGGAATTAATAAATGAAGGTCTATGTGTTGTATTTAATGAATTTACAAGGCACCTCAATTGGAAAAAGCCTCACTGGGGGCACCTGGGTGGCTCGTTGGTTAAGCATCCTACTCTTGATTTCAGATCAGGTCATGGTCAGGTAGTGAGATCAAGCCCCATGTCAGGCTCCGTGCTGGGTGTGAAGTCTGCTTGGGATTCTCTCTCTCTCTCTCTCTCTTTCTCCCTCTCTCTCTCTGCCCCTTCCCCACTTGCACACGAGTGTTTATGTGCACTCTCACTCTCTCTTTCTCAAAGAAAGGAAAAAAAGGAAAAGCCTCACTGGATACCACCAAAGTAAGT